TTTTTACCAAATATTCCACCTAAAATTGTCAATGGAAATCCAACTAAAAAAAAAAGAAAAAGAAAAGATAAATCGATATTTGTTTTTAGTCTCGTATATTGAAACATGATTTAAATCGAATGTCTGATGAAGATGATGATAGTTCACCTGAAGAAGAAAATGGATGGAAAATAATTCATACAGATGTATTTCGTTTTCCAATTAATCGTGAATTATTTAGTTCAATAATTGGTGTTGGTTGTCAATTTTTATCAATATTTACTGGTATACTTATATTTGCTGTATGTGGAATGTTTACTGTACATCGTCATGGTTCATTAATAGCATCAGCTGTTATTTTATATGCATTTACATCATGTGTTGCTGGTTATATGAGTGGAAGAATTTATCGACAATTCCAAGGTGAACATTGGACATGGAATATAATATTAACAGCTAATCTATTTACTGTACCTTTTTTTATAATATGGTCAATTATAAATACATTTGCATGGGCACATGGAACAACACAAGCATTACCATATACAACTGTACTTATTCTTGCTTTTATGTGGCTTTTTGGTAAATTTATTTTAATAAAATAAAATTTTTTTTCTTTTTTTTATTATTCTTTTTGTTTTAGTTGGATTTCCATTGACAATTTTAGGTGGAATATTTGGTAAAAATTGTACAACAAATTTTGATGCACCATGTCGAACAAAAAATATAGCACGTGAAATTCCTCAAGTAGCTTGGTATCGTACAAGTTTTATTCGAATGTTGGTTGGAGGATTTTTACCATTTTCAGCAATAAGTGTTGAACTTTATTATATATTTTCAACATTTTGGGGACGTGAACAATATATGTTATATGGAATCTTAACTATTGTTTTTATAATTCTTCTATCTGTAACAGCATGTATATCAATAGCATTAACTTATTTTCAATTAGCTGCTGAAGATTATCGATGGTGGTGGCAATCAATAATAACATCGGGGTATATAGAGAAATTTTATTTTATTTAAATATATAAGAAAAAATAATATAAATTTAAATTAATTTAGATCAACTGGTTTATTTGTCTTTTTATATGCTATTTTTTTTTATTTTAATCGTTCAAAAATGCGTGGAACATTACAAACATTACAATTTTTTGGTTATACATCAATTGCTTGTTATGTTTTCTTTTTAATGCTTGGTACTGTTGGATTTTTTTCTTCACTTCGTTTTATTCGTTATATTTATGTTAATATTAAAATGGATTAACAATTTATTTATTCATATATTCAAATCTCAAATAGATTTTCATTTGCTAAACAGTGATATATAGCAGATGTTTTATTCGAATCTTTATTTCATTATTTAACTAACTTTTTTAAATAAAATCATTACATTATATTACATTACATTCCATTATTTGCCTATTTCGCTTTTCTCTTTGTGTTTGTTTGTGTGTGTGTGTGTCTATATTCCTTACTAACATTATTTCTATATTGTTTGTCAGTATTATTCTTTGCTTTTTTCTTTTGTTCTTTATTGTTGCTGATTGAAAAAATAAATAGATTAAAAGAGTAGAAATCTATTCATTGATAAATTTATTTTAATGATATTTCAATATATATTTAGGTCTGACCAACAGTTCTGAGATCTTTAAATAAAAATATAAAGATAAGGATATATTTTTAATTTTATTTTATCAAATATTGAGGATGGTTGTTATCATTATTTATATAAAGTTCAATTCTTTCGACACAATTTATTAAAAGTTTTTTTTTAACTCTTTTTCGAAAAAAATTTTAGCTACCTTGGATACCGCATGACTACATAATATTTCATTTATTTAATTAAATAAACTCCTTTCGATAGAGCTACTTAATCAAATATTGGGTAGTATTAGGTACGTCGAATATGACTGCTGTGGCATTATATTGATGCCTTCTTCTGTCAAATAATTAATAACATCGGATAAGTATGAAGTCAACCATAATCATCAAGCAGTTTTATACATTTTGTACTTTATACTTCTTTTTTTTTCATATTAAATTTACAAAAAGCTTCAGACAATTTTCAATATAATACTTATAACCTACAGTCATGCCTTTATCTACACTCAGGGCTATTTAATTTAAAGCATATGTCAAACAAAGTTTGTGTTCAAATCTATCTCCATGAATAATAGTCTTTGACGATTTATCCTCAATAAGCCAGCTAGAATCAGGTGACTTATGATTAACCTATATAAAATAAATCTATACTTCGTCACTAGTACTATAATAGTAGAACGCAAGTGACAACATCTAGAAAAACTTCGCTAAAATTTTAAAACAAATGAAACATGATTAGCTCATGCGGTATCCAAGGTATCTTAATTTTTTTGGAAAAAGACTTAAAAAAAACTTTTAATAAATTGTGTCGAAAGAATTGAACTTGATACAAATAATAATGGCAACTATCCTCAACATTTCATAAAATAAAATAAAAAATATCTCCTTATCTTTATATTTTTATTTAAAGATCTCAGAACTGTTGGTCAGACCTAAATATATATTGAAATATCATTAAAATAAATTTATCAATGAATAGATTTCTACTCTTTTAATCTATTTATTTTTTCAATCAGCAACAATAAAGAACAAAAGAAAAAAGCAAAGAATAATACTGACAAACAATATAGAAATAATGTTAGTAAGGAATATAGACACACACANTTATTATTTTTATTAATATTATTTGAAGAAAAAACAAAAAGAAAGAAAAAAAAATGTTCAATAGAATAGAATAATAAAGACACAAAAAAGAAAAAAGAAAAAAAGAAAAAAAGAAAAAGATACAACATAAAGAGTACATATATAAAGATAAGTTGATGTTCACTGTATTGACCGGCGATTGTTATATATATATATATATTATTATTATTATTATTATTGTTGATGATGATGATAATAATGATATTATTTATTTAAATATAATATTTATATTGGAATGAGAATATCTGACACTCGTCAATAAGAGTGATTGAACAATTATTTAAAAGGTTTAAATGCACCAACTATTGTTTGACTTAGTTTTTCTATAACAAAATAGGAAAAGGTTAAAAAAAAAGTTTTTAAAAGAGAAACAAAAACAAAAAAAGATAAAACCTTGTGATGATGATGTTGGAGATGAACATGTTGATGATGATGATATTGAATAAGATCTTGTTTGTTCTTGTTTTTGAGTAAAAGTTTCATTTATTTTATTTTTATGATTTTTTTCTGCCATATCTGCAAGTGACCAAATTCCCGAACGTTTTTTTCTTTGTCGTAAATCATTTTCATCAAATTTTCTTTTTCGATTTGTTTCATCTTTTAAATTAAATTTTTATTAAAATAGATAACAAGAAAAAAAATAAAAATAAAAATAAAACCTGTAGAAATATTTTGTTGTTCATGTTGAATTTGATGATGTTGAAGAAGAGTTAATGGAGATGATAAATAATTTATATTTGATATAAAAGATGATTGGCCTGGTGTTATTGTTGTTGTTGTCGTTGGTGTTGTTGTTATTGTTGATGTTGATGTTGATGTTGATGTTGATGGATTTATTATTTGTCTTTGTGGAGAATTTGATTCATCATCAGATCTATCACTATTATATTCTTCAATATGTCGATCATCATCATCATCTGTTGTTCTTTATTAAATAAATAATATTTAATAATAATGAAATTTATAAAAATAAAAATTTAACCTATTTCTTGGTGACCAAGTCATTTTATTTTCTTTTTTTAATCTTCTTCTAGCATTAGCAAACCAAGTTGAAACTTGTGTTAATGTCATTTTTGTCATAATAGCTAAATAAACTTTTTCAGATTTGGTTGGATAAGGATTTTTTCTATGTTCATATAACCATGCTTTTAATGTTGCTGTTGTTTCTCTTGTGGCATTTTTTCTTCTACCAGCTAAATCCATGTGAGGAGAATAACTAAATAGAATTAAAAACAAAATAAAACAAAACATTAGTAAATGTTCTCAAATTCTAATGTGTCTATTCGGAAAATGATCTCATATGATCATTTTCTATGCATCAGTTAAAAAAAGAAATAGATATGCATCGTTTAGAGACTATAACATTCACTTCATTAGACTCGAGGCGATTCTTCTTCTTCTTCTTCTTCTTCTTCATCTTCATCTTCATCTTCATCTTCATCTTATTATTCTCATTTTTCTCTCTAAGTGATTCCATTTATTTTATTTCTCGAACTAATTTTAAAATATCTATTTAAACAAAGTTAAAAATAATTATTTTTTATTCTAAAATCTTTTATTTTACCTAAAATGAAAAAAAAAGAAAAAAACTTCGATGTTTAAAAAACAAAACAAAAAATAATATTTATCTTAATAGATTAATAGTTTTATAGTTTATAATTTATAATTTATAATTTATAATTTATAATCATCAGTATTGTGTCATTCGTTTTTTTTGTTTTTTTTTCTTCGATAATAATATTAAATAAAATGATGATTTAACTTACCCAGCTGCATAAGGAGCATAACCAACTAAAGCAACAGCTGTTGCTGCATCATATACATAAGGATTTGAATATGGATTACGCCATGGATTACCATTTACTAAACTATTACAATCTTGATTCAATCCAATTACATTTACATTTACTGACGAATCCTTTTTCGTTTTTGTTTTGAATTTAAAAAAAAAAATATAAAAATTTTCTTTGAAAATATATATTTAATAATTACTTTTATTGATGAATATGGATTTGAATCTGATGGATTAATACCAGCAATCCTATGTACATATATATATATATATATATTTACTTTTTTATTATTTTAATTAACAATATAACTTACATGATCAATATAATAATTATTATTTTTATTATTATTATTTGAAGAAAAAACAAAAAGAAAAACAAAAACAAAATCAATCTTAACTAAAGAAAAAACAAACGGAGAAATTAGTTTTATATGCAAACATAATTTTGCAAGTGTTACGACAAGAATGCGAACAGTCGTTGCATTCGCCTTTCTCTTTCTTTCCTAGTTACTAATGTTAATATATTGTTAAACGAATCGACATTAGAAAAAAAACGGAAAATAGAGATCGAGAGGCTCACTGAAAAAACGAGAGACACAGACAGAGACACAGAGAGAGAAAGAGACACTCAGAAAAACACACACACACACACACGCTCGTCTGTTAGTTTGTCAGACACGATCGTTACTCTCTTCTATCCGCTATTTGTCGATGAATTCAACGAAGAAAAAAATCCGATTGGTTGACAAGTCGTGTGCCACTGCAACGAGACACGATGTTTTACATTCTTGTTCGAGTAGCTTGTTAACAACGCCAACGGGTGGAAGACAGAACAACTAAACTAGGATTTTCCTCATTGGATGAAGAAAAAAGAAAAAAAAATGAAGACCATCACAAATACATTTATTAGTAGAAAAAAAAAAGAAAAGAAAAGAAAAGAAAAGAAAAGAACAGCAAGAAGAAGAAGAAGAAGAAGAAAAGAAACAAATATATATTTCTCGAGTAAGGGCAAACACTATTCATAAAATAATACTGTCCTATCCTAAGTAAATTATGGATTGATTGAGGAAGAATGTTCGTCTACTGTTAAATAAACGTGAAGATAAATACGTCATGTCAATAGATTGATTTTCTCTTATTTAAAGTAATTAAACAAAATATATTATTTTTTTATCAACATAGATTATATATATTTAATTGACTTCTCTATACAAGTTTAGGTTTAACTTAAAGTTAAATGAATATTATTTTAGTTATATAAAAGAGAAATAAAAACAAAAATGATTCATTGAATAATATTTATTTTGAAAAAGGAAACATAAATAAAAATGATGTAAAACTAAAACAAATTCAATGATGAATTTACTTTCCGTAATTATTTTAAAAAAAAAAAAAAAAACTAATGTCTCTTGTTTAATTGTAAATGATAGAAAAAGAGAAAGAAAATGATTGATGAGACAAGCAATGTGCCTTTTCTTCCGGTAGTTTTATATTGTTGAATTGCTTATCTTGTTTTACATAATCATTTCAGAACGAGATAAGTACCTTTCAACACTTTCACAAATGCCGGAAACTTATTTTCTTTTTCTTTTTCTTTTTCTCACTAAAATTTCAATAGATATATGTTTTAATGAAAAAAAAAAAGAAAAATAGAGAAAAGAGAAAAGAGAAAAGAAAAAAGAAAAAGTTGACCAACGATAATTGACACTTGTGTGTTGATTGAATTGATAATATTGATATTTGATGATAATCAAAGAAATCGAAGCGCTCATAGAAGTTAAAAAAAAAAGAGATTCTTCAAGTGAATAATACTTTGTTGTTAATAAGATCATATACGTATGAATAAAGATCGAGATATATTGATCTAGTCGAAAGTCAATAAACCGATTGAGATTTAACCATTGAAATATCTGAGTTACTTCCGGAATAAATCCAATAGAATGGAATGCCGTGTCGGACGAGAAGTGGACGCATGAACAAATTAACTAAAGAGTGTCAGCGCATGATCGGGCTTTTCCGTTCATCTTTTTCTTTTTTACTTTACTTTATCATATTTCCTCTGACCTCTATTCAATATTGAACCAATCATTATTAATTGAAAAAACAAAACAAAACAAAACAAAATAGATTAGTTACTGTTTTGTTTTCTTTTACGTGAATATATATATATATAAATAATGAATAAAAATAATGAGGATATACTTTTTATAACTAAAAAGTAAAAAAAAAGAAAAAAGAAAAAAGAAAAAAGAAAAAATATTTGATTGTATATATAATCCCACTTGACGGCACAAAGGTGTTTGTCTATTGATGATTATTGAGTGTCTATAAACAAAAGCAATAAGAATAGATTGACCACTTTCTTCTCAATTCTTACAATTAGCGTGATAAGAATCTATTCATCTGATCTGATCTGATCTGATTTGATCTCATCTCATCTCATCTGATATAAACTAGTCAAATAGAGAATTGTTTCTAGTCGGACGGCGTCTGTCGTTAATAAGCAAAGTGTATATCAACTTCCGAACGCTGATGATGATCATCTGCGCGATGAAATCTTTGTTCTTATCGTTCGTTTTCCCATATGTCACTCTCTAATTTCTCTTTATATTTTTCTTTCTATATAATAATAGAAAAATAAGAAAAGAATAACGAAAGACATATCCGTTGCCGACACATTTATTCAACTATTTTCTATAATTTATCATAAATATTGAACATTTCTCATTATGCGTTTTAGTCATATATTATTATCGATCAATTGAGTTAAACAATAGTTTGTTTATCATTTTTTTTCTAATATATTTACCTTCAAGCAATTATCAATTAACAATCTATTATTTAAGATATCGATTTTTGTTTTTTTCTTTTTTATAAATATATTTTTAAGATTTGTTGTTGATATAAACATTTTTGTTTTGTTTTGTTTTATTCTCTAATTAAATATGTTTTTGAAATAAATTTGAAAATAAGATAGTAATTGACATATGTCAATATGATAAATGTGTTTTTATTTTAAAAATCTTGTTATGGAATAATTGTTTAAATAAAGATTATATCAGTCTAAGACGTATATATATATATTATCAATTATGATAAATAATTGAGTAATTATCTTTGATTTAAAAGTGGAAGCATATGGAAATATATTTTGATTGATTTTTTTCCTATCGACTTATCATCACTGATCAACTAGATCGACTGATCGACTGATCGAGAAAAATTTTGAAAAGACAATTGCCTTCTTCTTAATGACCTTCTAAACAAAGAAATAGACTATTTTGTTTAAGTTTTTTCATTGATTTTCTTATTTTTGTTCGTTTCAAAAGATAATAATGAAGGTGTTTTAGGTTATTTTTTTTTCTTTTTTCTTCATCCAATGAGGAAAATCCTAGTTACTAATGTTAATATATTGTTAAA